AAAAAGCTCATGCTTTTCATAATCATTGTAAATAATGTTATAATAATGCACAGTGACACTTAACAACAATAGTTACTGGGGTAAAAACTTTTTCCCAAAAATTCAAGGAATGGAATAAAGAATAAAGCCATTTAAGTAAACAGTGAACAATGCACATAACCAATCATCATAAAAGTTAATACATCTTATCAATATTAATTCTTTTCATACAGTGTTTTAGTGTAGCACATATCCCAAGAGACCCTTTAAGCTAATACCCAAAGGTATTAAGTAATCCATCTAAATTGGACAATCAGTTGCGAGAACAGCACAAAGGCTGCAGGTATGTCCTTATTAATGCAGTGTACTCTAATAAAAAATATATATTGCACTAAATTGTAGTTCATACTTTCATTGAAAAATATCAAATTTTCATCAAAGTGAGACAGCTTTATGATCTCATAAAAATTAAATGGCCAAGGGTGGAAATATAATCTAAATTTGAAAAAAGGGTGATCATCCCCCTCAGCACAGCATGTTTTTGCAATACCATGAAAGAAAATACTGCACAATTCTACTTAAGGCAATAAATTATTTAGGAAATACAGCCTATTTTACACACCTCTCCACCATGTCTTGCAGATGTAATGTATGAGAGATCTGGTGGCAAAGCACCATTGTTGGCAGAACGAGCAGCTTCATCGTTGACGTAGGGGTTGGGGAAGTAATCGGACAGTTTTCCTGGCCTTTCAAACATTTCTCCATCGTCATTCGGTCCGTCTTTTACCTGTAAAAAATGTGGTTTCATTGAACTCTTCATAAAATTCAAACCATTGCTGGAATCATATCAAATAGCCTTGTTAATTCAAATTTACATACAGAGAATGTACGTCGTTCACTCAAAACTTACCTGAATAGCCTCTGCTTCAGCCTTGGCTTCAGATTCTGTGTGGGACACTCCAATCAGGTTGCGGAAGGCAATGTACTTCATGGAGTGACAGGCAGCACACACATTCTTGTACACCTGATAAACAATTTAGATTCAAGTTAATAAGCTCAAATTCTGTTAAAACATACAACTTAAAAGGATCACATATGTTCACTTTTAGACATAAGAATTCACCTCATAACTAACCTCATAGCCACGGCGAATGGAGGCATGATCAAGAGAAGAAAAGATTCCATCATGAGACCAAGGGAACTTGGTCGTGTGGAGTTCAAGCTCTGAGGCTTTCACAGACTGGTTGAGCGCATACGTGAGTCCAGCTGCGCTACCTCCAAGGATTCCAATGGCTCCTAAGACCTTTCAAAATTGAAATCATTATTATCTACTATACACATGAGCTGTAAAACATTAAAGAAAAACAACATATAATACCAACAGACAGAGCCATGCAGACAAGTTATCAAACAAATGTCACTACTAACACTACTACTACTATTAACCGATTGCCGCCGGGGATGGCATGTACGTACATGCCATACCCACTTTGAGTTGACTTGTTCGATTGTTTTTACACATAGATGGCTACACTTGTACTAAGTATCCAATGAGCCAATTCGAGTACAGCCCGTCTCGCCCGTTCACCCTTTTCATCGATTTACGAAAATGTTTAACATTATCCTAATTTACTGTTAAAAATAACACCATCTACATTTATAGCACTAGTAAGAATACGTTTTTTTCCGCCAATTTAAGGAAAGGTGAAATCAGGACTAGCAGAGCCATCTATGGACAGACATATTTCACAAAAATATAAAAAATGAGTACAGTATTTTCCCCATTTTTTGTTCATTTTCCCCGGCAGCAATGGGTTAAAAATCTACACATTCAAAATATCAGATACAATAAAGTTTTGTTACAGTGGTCATTCATTTTAAAAGATGCTAATAAGTAATAATTACAAGCAATCAGGACATCAGTGAATAATGAGAAGCCAACTTTAAATATACTGAAACATTTTCCAAGAAAAAAATTACTAATCTATAACAAGGCATCTCAATGGCTTCTGAAAATAGACATGGAACAATGGTACAAGATTCTTTACAACAGGACCACATCCCTGTAGGGCCAAGAACCTTTTTTTTCCAGCCAACAAGCTTGGAGACATTCCTGGAAATCTATGGCTTTTGGGTGAAAGAGAATGTGGGCAAAACTATTTTAACACAAGGCAGAAAAATAAGGTCTGGCAATAGGAGTCAAATCAGTGGTCCATGCTAAGTTTTCCAGAACTTTATCCCAAATGCACAATTTTTTACAAAGGAACATTGTATGACTTTAATGACTCATAACCTTAGGGCTTGTCTCCAGACTGATATACTATCATCTTATTACAGTAGTTGGGGAGATCCCTACTCAAACATCATAGTATCAGGCCTTTTTCCTGATTACTACATTTCCCTGGCAGGAAGCTCTTGATGTAGACACCCTAATAATCACCATTCTCCAGTATAAAAGCAAATTGCTACCAATAAACACATACTAATTTTAAAAAATGGTTCCAAGTACTTATAGTTTCCACTGTGATTTTGCTTCATAAGGATTGTTTACATACAGATGGTTCCACCAGTTTCAAAAAGTCAATTACTAGACCTACCTGGTCTATTGTCATCATTACATATCAATATTATCCCTTATCAACATCATTATAATGTTATAATATTAATAATAGTAGTAAACATTATAAGGTCAGGTAGCTCTTGTAATTGACTTCCGGGTAACTAAGCACTGGTGAAACTATTAGTAAACAAAATAAAACTTCAAGCATTAAAGGGTTTATCCATTAATGCTGGTGGTTAACTAGAATAATTTACATTGAGAAAAAAAAAAGTATTTTTGGAGCTCATGTGAGGAAGTGCTTTGAAAATAAACTCATAAGCAAGCACTTGAAATGCTGTGTTAGACAGCCTAGAATATGGTTTATAATATTGTACTGCAAATACTAAAATTCTAAAATCATTTTAAAAAATATTTACCACAATAATTTGTAAGAAGGAAAAAAAAAAGCTAAGAAAATAGCTAAACACTTTGGGGAGTCTGTAAGATAACTCTGCAACTCTAAACTATGTTGCAAGTATTTACATGTTGCAAATATTTTACATTACAAGCAAAATAGATATGAAAAAGGGAACAATCATTTTTCAAAAAATCTATTATCAAAGTGTATAATACCTACGCAGAAACATGTAGCCAACACCATGCTAGCATTTTTCAGGAATACACATTACAAGTAAAATGTATATACTTACTGCCTTTCTTGTGGCTGCCATGTTTCGTAAGGTGGAAAATTTAGAAGAATTCTGAAATTAAAAAGGACATGTTAAAGTAATCACTGAAACGACTGTCTGATATGTAATGTCCTTGTAAATGGGTTTTTCCCATACAAAAAAAAATGAAAGTATTAGAAAGAAGTTAAAAACTAAGTTAAACCGATGACAAGTAAAAAAAGAAAAAAAAATTATAAATATATAAAATAAGAAAATTAATGTTACTCTGCCACTACAGTCTTTCTCCTAATATCTAATTTGTAATAAGTGTAGCTCCTGCATCCTTCCTGCAGTCAATCTGCAAGGTTCTCAAAGAATGGATTTCCCCCCCCCCTCTCCTTATAGGACCTTCTCTCCCCCTAAGCCAATCAAACAGCCATGTTCCAGCCCTTTTTGTGAATGGAAGATACTGACTGTGAAGGTGTAACTGTGGTACTAGTGGTGCAGCTATAGCACACATTGTCAAACCACTTCAATCTTTTGCTCTCCCACATTCCCCTTCTGCAGAAGTCACTATCAGGTATTGCATGTGTATATATCACTACTATTTATGTGACTAGATAAATGTGTCTAAAAACAGCTTGTTTTATATGCCTAAGGACTAACAATCACTCAATTGTGTATTTTTCTGGTTAGTGAGTTAATATATTTGAGTAACCATCAAAAGGAATCCTGGGGTAGTGCTCATTTTCACTTTCAGAAGCAGAGCTTATGAATAAACGCAGATACAAGTGGCCACCATGGCATATGCATCTTCAGTAATCTGACAAAAGCCAGCAACCCCTAATTAAATTCATTCTTAATTTGAGAGGGAAAAAAAACACCATTCACACTATTCTTAAAATCAGAAGGTAGCTTTAGTTAATCAGCACCCACCAACTTACTCTACCACATATTCTGCCGGAATAGAGCTTGCAGACCTCCCTGTCAATTAAACCATTATCCACCCCCCCCCCCCCCCCACAACTCCAGTCACTAAGGAGCTACTTAGTAGTCTACCTGACCTCACTTGATATCCCATTTCCTTGAATATTTGGGAAAAACTTCTAAAGCTATTCACATTTTTATTGCTATTATCATTATTGACAATGGGACTTGAAATAATATTATCTAAACCAATATCAATAAGAAATTTTTAAATCTTTCTAAAAATCAAGAAAAAGGGTGAACAGAAGATTCAGGCACAACTAGTCATCAACTCCTTATTGATTAAGCCTTGGTGATTAATCAACTCACTGGATCCAAGTGCAAATGGCATTGTGCTTCCCTGAGTGGCAACTTTCCTGGGTGTGTGTGTGGCTTGTAAGCCCAGCCACTACAAACACACAGTATCAAAACTCCTTGTCTCCTCTTTGCAGTGCTATTAGCCCTTTCTCTATAGATGCATTTTTGAACTTCTGTATTTTTTTAAGGCATGTGTGTAATTTATAATGCTGTATCAAAATGATAAACTACTTTCACTGAACAAACTCCAAATTCTCTCTTCTGAGTTTATATTCTGTGTAATTATAGTAACATTTTCTAAGTTGCTAAAGATGTTTATTCTGCAGTCTCAGGCACTAAATGTTAGCATATGACTGGGAGAGGAAGGGGGTAGAAGTGGGAACAAAAGTAAGAGGAAGAGATACTGAGGGAGATGATGAAAGATCCTAGGGGGAAGGGGAAGGTGTAAGAGCAAAGGCCAGCATTAGAGTAGAGGCAAGAGAAGAAGCTTGTGGCGTGCTTCCTGCATGGCCTTGCACAAAGTAAGGCAAGATTGAATCCATGGACTGCTACCTCAGACTCAAACTTGTAGAAAGGGCAGCCCCTATAAAATACAATATAGTAACTACCACAATTGGCACATGCATACATGATTGCTCAGGGCAGCTTGAACCATCATGGGCACAGAAGGCAGTGGACTGAGGAGCAACAATGCTTGGCAGTGTGGCCAAAACACTAATATTTCTGACATAGACAGGGTTGGACTCTCCACTAATATAAACTTTATGAGGAAGTCATGTCTGCAGAAAATAATTTTGCCAATATTAGCGAGACTCGGATGTAGCTGTGACAAGGCATGAATGATCGAAATGGCTCCAGAAGGAAACTTTTCCTACTTGTTTTTGGAGACACTGTTGGAATAGGAGGGTATTGTAAGAGTAATGGGTTGTAGGAGGAATAAAAAAAAAACTATCACATTTAGTCAAGCTTAAAAAGAGTACTTAAAAGATCTGTAGAAGTGGAAGTAGTTGAAGGGCGAGGACAGGAGGAGAGAGAGAGGTGCTGAGTAAGATAGTACAACAGGGAGGTGAATAATAAGGATGAATTCTAGTAATATGGGAGAAGGGGGGGGGGGGGGTTGATAATAAATCAGACTGTGGAGGATGAGGAGATGTAGTGGGGGGATTTTGGGAGAGAGGAAGGAATGTTTTCTGAGGATTGGGTAATGGCCTGGGTAGATGCTATCAGTGGCAGATTACGGCAGCCTCTAAGGAGGAATGGTGTAGCACTGTACTGAAACTGCATCACAGTTCAAGAGGCAGACAAACACGTCTCCACAATCTGATCAATGCTTTTCACAGTTTCACAGTTTGTCAGAGAGAGGGAAACAGTTCCAGTTCAAGTGTTATGGGAGGGATAAGGCTGTGCCAGAGTGGATTTGCCAGTGATGTCTGTCAGGGTTGATAATGCTTTAGCTAGGGATTCAGATGTAACTGACTTGGCGGGACCATTCGGGGTGGCTAAGAAAGGAAACTTTGCCCATTTGTTTTTGGAGAGTTTAGCTGGGCTAAATAGTATTTAAAGGATTTGCAGTGATGTCTGTCAGGGTTGATAATGCTTTAGCTAGGGATTCAGATGTAACTGACTTGGCAGGACCATTCGGGGTGGCTAAGAAAGGAAACTTTGCCCATTTGTTTTTGGAGAGTTTAGCTGGGCTAAATAGTATTTAAAGGATTTGCAGAGTATAAGCTGACAGCAGGTTTAGAGGAGGGGGAAGTAATGTTCAGTCATGATTTCCTTAGACTGATTAACGAAAATCATGCCTGGTGCCATCAGAGTCATGATAAAAGGAGAACCTGGGGTTGGGGAAATAGAAAAGTTAACAATGGAGCTAATTGATAAAGGGGCAAGCCTCAGTGCCCCTAAAAAAGGCACAAAATCCTTACTGGCCATGGTAAACCAGGCGAATGTGGGTAAAGATAAACATGGCTCCCTGAGGCTGTTTAGGACCGACCTAAAGCCAGCCTCTTATTCATCCAACACAGATCTCACATCTTAGGAAGTGGAAAGAAGATGAGTTTGGTCGAAGAAGAGAAGGAAAAGGAGAGAGGGAGAGGAAAAGATCATGCAAAATTGGTTGAACCAAGGGCTGAGGTCCAAGGTATGGGAGGTCCACAACATTGGGCCTCAGTCTATCTCCTAAGCCCCCCATGGACATGCACATTCTCATAACCAGGACTTTTGAGAGCTTTGTATGCCTTCAATCTGTCATACAAGAGAACTAGACATTAGTATTCATCATGGAATGATAGCTGAGCCCAAAGTATTCCAAATGTTAATAATAGTAATTAACCTCTGAATTGCAGAATTGCAGTTTCCCTCATTTATGCCTGGATCCAGTACTTCAGGTTTTTGCATGATATTATGCCATCTGCAACTAAAGGGTTAAGGTACCAAGCAAGTCAGACAATTCATGGAATGGATGAAAAGTTCAGAGTTTGTGCAAAGGTAGTATATGTGGTTTTAAAAGCAAATCTATGTAGATGCATAGGAATTACAATTAGAGTTTCTATTTACTGCAGCAAAATTGTACTTCATGTATGCTGGTTAGGTTTTTAGGTTGGCTATTGGTTAGGACATTGTATAAGGAGGATGGGGGTCCAGGAGACAAAAACCCCTGTCCATGTAATGTATGGTTAGAACAATGCAAATACCACAGGAGTTCAGGGGCAGAGCCCCCTGACTAGGTTATAACAATGTACATGGTTAATGGTTAAAAAAAAAAAAAAAAAATGTGCTACAGATCAAAGGTCATATAGAACTATGGAAAAAGGTAGTAATAAAAGAGGTAAAGAGGGGGTTAGTTGATTAAATGTGCTACATGTCAAGTCATATAGCAGTTCAGGACAGTATGGTGTTGAAAGGGGCAAAGAGAGGGGAGGGTAGAGAGGGTGAGTAAGTTCTCAAAAGATGTCCAAATGGTAAGGTAAGGATTAGCAAAAGGAGAAAAGGTGATTTGACAACAGTTTCAGGAAAATAGTCAGGAGAAAGTGAATCCCAGAAAGGTGGCTGTGACAAAGAGTCGCATATGTATCAAGGGGATGTGGAAGGGATAATGCAGAAGGAAGAGGGGTGATGCTGATGAAACAGGGGGGAATGGGATGTGTTGGGAGGGAGCGGAACAGGTGTAGGAGGAGGATAGATGTTGGCAGTTAATTTGAGTGTAGAGGGAATGGAAGCAGAGAGATTGGGGGATGGTTGAGGTGTAGGCTTGTTATTTTGGGTCTGATATTAACAGGGGGAAGGTTGAAATGGTTGGACAAGGAGGGACTCTCCACCAACAAACATGAAAGGGGATGTTATGTCTACAGAAGGTAATATTGGCAATATCAGTGGCAGATTACGGCAGCCTCTAAGGAGGAATGGTGTAGCACTGTACTGAAACTGCATCACAGTTCAAGAGGCAGACAAACATGTCTCCACAATCTGACCTATGCTTTTCACAGTTTCACAGTTTCACAGTTTGTCAGAGAGAGGGAAACAGTTCCAGTTCAAGTGTTATGGGAGGGATAAGGCTGTGCTAGAGTGGATTTGCCAGTGATGTCTGTCAGGGTTGATAATGCTTTAGCTAGGGATTCAGATGTAACTGACTTGGCGGGACCATTCGGGGTGGCTAAGAAAGGAAAATTTGTTTTTGGAGAGTTTAGCTGGGCTAAATAGTATTTAATGGATTTGCAGAGGTGGGTGTAGTAGAAGGACAGGGACATGTGGATTAGGGAGTAGTATTGAGAGGAGAAGTACTGTGGAGAGGTGGACAATAAGGCTGCAGAGTAGTAATAAAGAAAGAGGGGGTAGTAGAGGAAGAGAGATGTGGGAGTGGAGGAGATGAAGTAGAGGATGTTGGGAGAGGAGGAATGTTTTCTGGAGGTTGAATAATGACCTGGGTGAATGATTTGGAATGGACTGAGGTAATATTAGGTATTGACTAAGGTAGTTATTGAAGTGTTTAGTGTGGTCAAAGGAGAGGCTAAGGTCAGGGAATTGGGAGAATTTAAATCTGTGGGGCTAGTTGATAAAAGGGCAAGCCTCAATGCTCCTAATAAGGATGCAAAGTCTACATTACTATCCATGGTAAGCCTACAGTACAACAGAGAGACATAGTCAACCCCTCATTAGAGGGGGGGGGGGGTAAGAATTCATGGTGTGTATTCCCATAAATTTTACTGAAGGATGGGTTAGGTGCCCATAAAATTTTTGGACAGTTAGCACTGTACCCAGTAAACTTTCAACAATGATGGCAGTTGGGACTATCATATCAAAACTATGGGCAGGGTTTGATAATTCACAAATAAATTTCATTTCTACAGCAAACCCGTGATTCTCATAGAATATTGCATTTGAAACCAAAAATAGCTGCACTGATCTTGAAAGAATTATCAAACTTTATAGAGAAAACTAACTTGTACCCATTACTATTCTTAGATTCACTAGAACAATATAATTATGCCAAAGGGACATTCATCACAAGAGAAAAAATCAACAATGAGATAGTTATTACAAACAGTAATCATCCTGAAATCCTTCACATATACATATTATGAAGGTAATCTTGCAGAATACCTTTAAATAACGAATTGAGACAACTTTGGTATCAAAGGATTCCTCTCACTCTCTACCAAAATATATCAAAATTATGCCACAGATACCAACTCCACTTCACAAAATTAATTTATCAATCTAAGTTGTCGCAACTGGGAGTGTCTTTCAGGCACTAACCAAGGGAAGGGTATTTTCTACCAAGAGTGATGCACCTTCAGAGACACAGTACGAACACCAGGGTATCATGCAAACCCAAAATCTGCAGCTAACCTTTCCCATTTTTTATCGATTCCCTAAAGAAGAGCGCAATCTTCCCTGTACCCTCCCTTTGTTAGCAAATTGTGCCAAATTACAGAAAATGCGACATTAACCCCTTCCTGACGGGTGAAGCCGATAGGCGTGAAAACAAACCGCTTGAAAGCTGGCGTGCAGCTGTACGCCGCAGCGGAGTGCCAAAGCACGGCAAGCCAGTGATTCGGGACTGATGTACCGAACTCTCACACTCAAAGTCGGCGCACCGCCTTTGGTTGCCAGAGGGTAGAGGTTTTTTTTTTTTTTTTTTTTTTTTCTTCTTCACCCGTCACCATTAGCTTAAGAATCGACTGTGTGAGGGTGTTGTGGGCTATGTCTCTGTGATATGAAGAGGATATTTTTGTTATTTTGTGGTAAATACGAGGCCAGAACAGCTGTAACTGAAACCTTTATTGTTCTATTTCTTATGCTTTTTAACCCAATGACGCCGGGTGAGCACGTGAGTAGGGGACATCAGCCCGAATCACTGGCTCGCCGCACTTTGGCTCGCCACCACGGCGTACAGCCACATGCCAGCTTTCAAGCGGTTTGTTAACACGCCAATCGGCGTCACCCGGCACCAAGGGGTTAAGATGGCAGTGTACCATTTCTCTCTGTCTCTGGGCAATGCTCTTGGTAATATTAACCAAGGGGAAGGTTGATGGGGCTCTGCTCTGCTCTGGTAAAATATAAATAGAATACAGTAATTACATACCTATAAAATAATAAATAATTAACAAGTCACTAATGTACAACACAGGGGACTGCACCTCCTGCAATCCCCACCCAGACAGCAGCCATTCACAAACCCCGCCTCCACAGACAAAAACATCCACCATGTATGTACGGCAGGACAGAGCAGGAGAAAATCCCCCTGCCAGCTGAGTGCCCTCCCAACTCAATGGCACCTTGCAATCAGGTCATTCAATCTAATCCTTCCAAGGTTATATACTGCATTGTTCATTATGCACCTAGGTTATATGCTCCATCCTGCCATGAATACGTAGAGGATTCAGTTTAAATGGGTGGGGGTTGAAGACATTAGCCCCCCTATGAGGGGGTCTCTGGGGGCACAGCCCCCTGTACTTAATGTAGTGCGGTATTTTGCTATGTTATATTATTGGTAGTTTACCCCCAATTTGAACCTTTCATGCCGTCCTCTCTTATGCAACAGGGGTCAAGAAAGTGGGGGTTTGGGGGGTTCCATTGCATAATTCCTATATGTATATGAGCTAGAGGGCAAGAAGATAACAAAATCGCTGTGATCAATTATGCAAAGGCATTGTGAAAAACTACCATTATAAAAACTAAACCAAACATAAGACAGGATGTACTTACCCTTATATTCAAACCCCAATACATAACATGCCCTACTTTGCAGACAACGTAGCAGATTATGCAAATACCTTACATATAGATTGAGCAAGTCCTACCATTAAAAGAGCCACTGATGCAGATGTGCTTATCAAGCCTTTGAGAATATTAGTTAAAATTACTTGAACTAAAGCAATTACGAACATAGCAATGAAATCCCCTGAACAGACGACGACACATTTGAGACCTATATTTACAGTAATACCGACACCGAGTTTCTTTTGTCATATTAGGAACTATACCGACTCTCTGCTAGTACAAACCTATGCCCAATGTAGCTTATATTTACGTAAATATCGAGAAACTACGCCTACTTGGTTCTCTTTACGTAAACATACAGTAAATTGTAAACAACATTGTCCGGCTACAGATCCGACCTTTCCAAAGCACGTTTACTCGGTTTTCTCAGGGGTTATTGTTCCCGATTTTAAACCCCTATCGTGAAAATTACTAATCTAATTTCGTCAATGTTATATATATACTTTACCTGGAGCGCAATTCCAGAGACTCTTGCCTTCAGAAGATTAGCTCTCGCAGCCAGAGCCATTTTAGCGATGAGGCAATAGGCCGGGGGAGGCGAAAGTAGTCGAGAACTTTCGAGTTTTGAGGTTACATGAGTGTTATACAACTTAAAGTTGGGGTTTAATTAACCCACTTTTGACTTAAGATGTATCTTTTTGGAGTAATATAAGCTTAAGAGAATAGAATCTATAATCTAATTTCCCCTTCTTTTAAAAATTACATAGCAAGTTTTTTATCAGTTACTTTTGCCAGGTTTTACTTACAAAACTGTCAGCTGTTTATTCGTGTATCTATAAAGACTTTAAATAAGTAACATAAAATATTCGATTTTAATTTATATAAACACTACTAGCTAATTTACAAGAGGAAAAACTGCAAATATTGGTCGATCTTATCAAAAATCACTGATTTTATCACAACCATAAATATTTCACTAAGAATATTTTTTTTCATTCAGTCCATAGGTTATAGTATTTGTTTTTAGATATTATATGATTTTTTTTACAACCCAAAATATTAAGATGCGGCGAATACGATGTTCCTAAAATGCAAATACTTTCTCGGAGAATTATTGGAACTTCGCGCCGTGAGCGATTTTCCCCCGAAAGACTTCGCAAACATAGAAAGTACTCTACATTTCACCTAAGCGCGCCGGAAAATTTACAGTTTCAATATATTAGTGAAATTGCATTAATTTACGGCCCGTTGTGTCGAGAGAAAGACGCAGAAGAACCCAAAGAGTAATAAAGTCTTCCGGTGCTTGACCCGTGACGTCACAGACCGGTACCCTTCGTCGAACACAATGACCGAGAGGCGCTTCAAATCCTAGCAAATATCGTTAGCCATCGGTGACAGAAATCGTTAAAAGAGTGATCATCCACCATGAGTGGGCCCGTACCCTTCTTGGGGAGTAAAATCAGCCTTATATCTAAATCTGAGATCCGATATGAAGGGATTTTGTACACCATCGACGCTCAGGAGTCGATTATTGCGCTGGCGAAGGGTAAGTTTTGTTTGTTTACATCCCGAGGCGGAAGACGCTGAGGCCAATGAATAAATCGAGATGAATCCGATGAATCCTCGAGTATTTTGCCACTTATTACGCTTCTGAATTGGGGGCACAAGCACGCGTTTAAGAGGGGAAATGAAGAGGACTTTCTATTTTTTTACGCAGTTAATACCAAGTCGCACTTTGTCGAGTGACGCGCACTTTGAGGGGGGGAGTTTAAAAATGGAATCCCTGTCTTTTCTCTTTTTCTTTTCTCTTTTTTTTTCCTCTGGCGCTTGCAGGGCGGGATGGCGGAATCCCTGGTTAGAGAGTCGCTCTGTAAAGGCGAATCTTTATCAAAGGGGAATTCCGAAGGAGAACGAGCAATATATTTTTTTTGGCCAAATAAGGAAGTAGCTTCTTAGAGTATTTTGACCTATGTTCTAGGCGAGTAAAAGGGTGGGGGGGGGGGGGAGAAATAAACCCTTTTAGCCTAACTGTATTTTAAAGACCTTGGTTTTTATTTTGGCTGGGCGTGATGCAGTCCAAACAGGCCTTAATGTATCTGTAAAGAATCTCCCCCCCCCCCTCCTCCCCCTGCACAAAATAAATAACCCATTACTATTTGTTTTCTAAATATCATTAAAAAGAGTGCACCATCTGCCTTCTTTTTAACCTGTTACACCTCCGCACCCTGTCATTAGCCGGAGATTTTATCAATTGGAAATGGAAGGATTGGTCTTTACAAAATATGTATACTAGTACTTGTTTACTAGTTTTATTTAGTCTGTTTAATGATGTTCCATATGCTTAGAATTGGACTAGAAATAAAGGGCTGTAAACTATGCTCTGGATGTTGAGATTGGGGTTATGACGTTTCACAAGCCTGATATTTTGGGTTAAGTTTCGTTTTGTCTGAATTTGGCTTCTCATTTTTAGGCATAGAAAATTCAAGGTAAACAAGATTGAACCAATTTGTCAAAATTTTCCCCCATGGCCTAGTTCGTCCCTAGAATCCAAGACGAGTCATGGCATATGTTGAGGTGTTAGGTGGTCTCGACCTGTCATCTCCCTGCAACAGATGTCATGGTCGACTATCCTAAGCTTGAGCCTGCAAGATTTCGAGCAAAAGTTGCATATTAATTCTCTATGCAACTGTTGCTAGATCCAAAAGTACTCATTGTCAAGGGGTTGATAAAATATATTTGAGAATCGTTAATAAACTATTATAAGACCTAACTCTCTAGTTCCCTTTAAATTCCCCAGTTTGTCTTTCCTATGCAGACAATAGACTTCCCTGTTTACTATACAAGGATGAGACAAAGACTTTTCCGACATTCATGTATCACTATTGTAGATTATCCACTTGCCACAACTGTCAGAAGAAAACTGGTCTAAAAATTAATATGGTAAACCTAATAGGGGATGGGTGTCATGTTCACTTATGCCGTGCACATTAAGCTGGCTCCAAGTTGTGTACTAAACAGGTGTGCATTTGTTTGGCCATTACTGCAGCAATTGGAAGGGTCAGCCCTCAAAAGTAGGCTCACATTTTGGTCCCATTCTCTGGCAAATCATATGTAGCCAAAGTCTTAGTGGGAAGTTTTCCCCAGCTTCAGAAATTTTCCTTTGACCAATAGCATCTAGCACAGGATTGTCAGCATTGGGTTAAGAATTCTAAGTTTTGTTTACTTTTCACTGCAGGTATCTCCAGAACTGAGATTTTACCTTGTATCCATATATGTCCACTGAGTATAAATAGCAAGAAACCTTTGTATTACTAGTGTAGGAAACTTTAAAGCAATTATAAAACAAATTTTGAACACTAGTCAGCATTACAATAACATTTTTTTGTAAATTTTCAAGTAACTAGATCTGTTCTTACTACTCTGGGTTTGGCATTATGGGCAGACCCATATAGTCTTGCCATACGTAAGAGTGTGTGACCTAGGTAATAGTAGGTTGAATTCAGGCATCTTAAATTTAGTTGTTGCAGATTTAAGAGGAACGGTGATAGAATAAATGGGACTTGTTTCATCACCATCATGCTGTATCTAGTCAAAATAACCCTTTGTAGTATTTTCAACTTTTGAATAGAAAAGGTGGGAATTGTTGCTCATCAGGTAATTCCAATTATGAGGTTGTTTACCTTGTGCTATGTATTTTACTGCCACTCCATCTTTTGCTTCTGTTGAAACTTGAACTGAAATTAAATTGGAAGGTAACTTTTACCACAAGAAATGAGCAATAGCTGGGGACCTGCTATATTGTTACTGAAGATTGGGTCTATATACATGGCAAAAGGTTAACAGGATATAGAATAGATATATTAGCTATTTCTAAGACCTTTTCTTGTGACAATGTTTCACAAATTAAAGATGAAATTTTGATTTGTTTAAATTTTCACTATTTAAAGTTTAATTTGAATGGATGACTTATTTGTAGATAACCATTTTTCATTCATGATAAATTAGACATGTTTTTTGTAAAATTATACTGAACGTATTAGGAAATGTTTGCATCTCTAAGTGGCACACTAATGAGGAGGGAAAATAGATTGTAATAATTTGTTGATAAATGCAACATATCAAAGCAGATATAAAAAGGTATCAAGGGTAAACTAATCACATACTCAAAAAGGAGATATTTGGAAAATGCAAATAGAGATCAAAGTGGGAATTCTTTTCGGAGCCATCCAAAAATGTATTAGTTTCTATTGCATACTGGTTTAACCCAGTGATCACAAATGGTATGGAGGACGGATTCTCGGATGGCATCACCCAATGACCTGTCCCCTGCACCATTGGCTCGTATAATGTAATTTGAAGTACTGAACAAGCTGGCACAAATTGGGGAAACTGACAATGTGCATCAACAACACTATATTACAGAACACTAGCCAATTTTTATTACCACATTTATTGGGTTAAAGTAACAGTAGTGATACAGTATTGTTGAAGAATGTACTTGCTCCAATTTATTTCCGTAGTGCATCTATCACAAATCGATAGATTAAAGAAACTTGAATGTAGTCTTAACTTTAATTTAACTGCAAGATTACCTTAGCTACTCATAGGCATCATTATTTCTCATGTGAGGTGGTCTTCATAAACAAATCTAAAAAATCAGTTGATGTGGTATGTGTGTCTGCTTGTGTAGTATCTATGTACATTTCTTTATTCGTATTTGTATCTGTGTCAAGTGTTACTGACCTATTTTGTCATTATTCCCTCTTTAGCAGTCTGTCGGTAATTAGAATTGATTCACCTGATATATTTTCCCAAGTCTCCATATTCTTTTCAATTCCTCACCTGTCTTGTTGAATTATCTACTTCCTTGTAATTCCCTTGCTTTCTATATCTTTATTTTCCTTGCTTAGTATGTCTTTTTATTATTTTTTTCTAGTTGGGGTTAAATTCAATAAAGGGGCAGTCACACTAGTCTTGTTTATCTGCTGTTCCCCATGGAGACTGTGTTACTTCCCCAGCCATTATGGTCGTAGATGAAAATCCCAACATACTGCAGTACAGTGGAAACTGTATATTCATCCAGGCTACAAGGGGGACCCCCCCCCCCCCAAAAAAAAAAAAAAAAAAAAAAAAAAAAGTGGTATAACTAGAAAGCTTGTTTCTTGGTCTAAATAGCTATTATCATCATTAGATATAATTATATTGTAAAAATTATTAGTTTAATACATATTACAAGTAAGTTGTGCTGCCTCATTAAAAAAAAAATAAAATCAATTTGTCAGAGCAATTATAAGTATTTTAAATAGTAATGTTTAATAATAATACTAATTATAGTAATGGCGATAAGTGCAAGTAAAGTTCATTTAATGCACATACCAAATGTTGCCTTGGGAGGGGGGGGGAGCCTAGGAGACAGAGACTCAGACCCAGTGTAGGGACTTCAGCCCTTTCCTTGACTTATTTTGCATGATCTTTCCTTTACCTATCCTTTGCCAATCTCTTCATCCTCTTCTTTTGTCCACTTCCTAAGGTGTGAGAGCCCTTCTGAAAGGATGAAAAGCTGCTTTCGTCAGTTCAATATTTTGACTCCAGTAGCCATGGGGACTGTATTCCTGTGGTTAACTGCCTTGCCCTTATTCCTTATGGGGATCCTAAGAGGTAGACTGTTTCTTTTTCCCCACTTATTTCAGGCTTGCCATGGCCAATGATGATTCTTTACCTTTATTAGGGGCATTAATGCTTGCCTCTTCATCAACTAGTCTATCTAAATTTGACTTCTCAGGTTTCCCGACCCCTGCTGACTACAGCTACGGCCACTGATATTAATAGCCCTTCCTTGAGGTTTGCTGTCAATTACAACCTTTCCAAAGCATCACTCGGGTCCTTCTTCAACCTTCAGAATACACCCCTTCCTCTCTCCCAAAATCATCCATCCATCTTCTGCTGCACATTCTCCTCTATTGCTTACCTCCTCCCCCCTTGCTGGCTACTATTCATCCTACTATTCATTGACTACTTTTTGGCCCAGCAAAGTGGGATCGGTTCTTTGATTTCCCCTTACTCTGACAATACCCACCTTTTCCAACAATGTCTCAAAAAAGTTTCCTTCTGCAGTTGCTCCAATTGTTTGTTGCTTTTCATAGTTACATCTGTCCCAAGCTCATCCATTATTTACCCTGACTGACTTTGCTGGCAAATATATTCCTGCACATCCTCACTCCTCCCATAATACCTGTACTGAAACTATTCAATCTCAGCAACCAATTGTTCTGTTTATGACAAGGACTGTCAAACTGTAAAAAAAATGACCTGCTCGCCTGTATAGTGTTAAACTATTCCTCCCAGAGACCAGCACAAGACCCTCATCCACCCTCCAATTCCTCTATTCCTAGTCACTCTACATTCAATGTATTTACTGATATCCATCCTCATCCTCAAGTTCCACCTACTTCTCGTCCTCCCACTTTCCCTCAAAACACCGCATCCTCTCCGCCTCCATCTGCCTTCTTTGTTCCCCATGACTCCCTTGTGTCACATTAGTGTCCTCCAGATGCCTCCCCTCTTGACGTGCTTCCTGATACATCACCACCTTCCCCAGTTCCCCGATCTCATTCTCTACGTTATTCTCCTACTTCTCAAACACCATTTCTACCCATGTTACCCGTTGATTGTTTTGTTGTATTTCTCGCCTTCCTCAGGTAGATATTCTCCATTTGCTCTAATTGCTCTGTACTCTTGACCTCTTTTTCCTCTTACAAGTCCTTGCCATACTCTATTTGCTCTCCCCTCTTTACCCTTTTCACTATAGAGCTATACAACCTTTAACACTTTCTATCCTAATTGTTAACTCATTTTTACCCTTTTTGCAATAATGTTTCACCATAGTGCTATGTGATCTTTGATGTCTAGCACATTTATTTGTATTAGATATTTATTTGTATTTTTGTATTTTGCTTATGTTTTTACCATTAACCATTCTGGGAATGCACATACATTTCCTTGTTAACAACAACAAAAAATCCATACCTGGGAAATTTTTCAATAAATCAATGTGAATATGAATATATGTATTTTAAAAAATGTATTTAGGTACCGGGTATTTTTAACATAGCTCAGAGTAGCAGCTTTCAAACATGTGCATTGCAACATGTTCATTGCAAGTTGCTCTGCAAATGTCACACAATATTTTGCAAATATTTTTCTTGCCTATGAAGTTGCTGCCATTTGCAAATTGCCCTTTTCATTTTGAAATGTTGGGGGAAAGACAGACAGTTAACCAAACTATTAATTACTTTCATAAGACTAATTTGCAGTGGTTCATATATTTTCATGGGATTATAATAACTATACATGTATAATCCAATTTTGTGCATAAAATACTCCCATGGATCTGGGTGATTTGCTGCTTGCTTACTTGAGTGGACACTTATGGATGTGATAAGAACACTCGTGTGCAGTATCAAATTCTCTCTCTCTCTCTCTCTCTCTCTCTCTCTCTCTCTCTCTCTCTCTCTCTCTCTCTCTCTCTCTCTCTCTCTCTCTCTCTCTCTCTCCCTCCCCTGGATAGTACCTCCTACTCATTTAGTGATATGAATAATGCAAGAGCCACTTCCAAAATATTTAGCCCACTGAGTCTTATCGTCCTGCAAGAGCATTGTCTACTCAGTGAGTCTTTCTCCTCCCCCTGGTCCTTAGCCAAAATTCTCACTGCATTTTCCCGCCACCCTGGCCCTCAAGCCAGCTTTTTCATGACATGATGTTCACGTCCTATGGATCCCAGGGGTTGATGGAGTGAAGAGTTGGTATATCGGTAGTTAACCCATTCCCGTCGGGCATGCCATGCCATGCCTAGTGTGAGATGACTTGTTGGATTGTTTTTACACATAGATGGCTACACTTGTACCAAATTACCAATGAGCCAGTTACGAGTACCGCCTGTCTCGCCTGTTCACCCTTTTCTTTGATTTACGAAATATTTTGTTATCTTATTTTGCTGTTACTAATGTTGAAAAACATTATGAATATTATAATGTTTATGATAAAAATAATCGATATTCATGGCACTAGTGAAAAACACGTTTTTCCCGCCATTTCAAATCAGGAACTAACAGAGCCATCTATGGGCAGACATTTCACAAAAAATATATATATATATAGAAAATAGGCACAGCATTTTCCCCAGCGGCAATGGGTTAACAATGCCACTGAAGTGCGAAGGCTAAGAACCACTACTGTGGATATACAACTAATAAAGAGATTATGGACCAGGGGGTAATTGCAGTGCTTACAATGGAGGAGGAATGTGGGAGAAGGTAGAGAGCTAGATTTTTGCTGGATGCAATGTGCCATACTGCACCAGAATTGCTATTTACAGGGGAAAATACGTGTGCTTGGCTTAGGCAGAGGCAAGTCTAAAGTGAGAGAGTTTGGTAGGTGTTTAACAAGGACACTTGCCAAACAGTATCAGATGTAGAGGACTATTAACAACTTGTATGGAAAATGGGAGGGGGGATCCCCTCCTTATTTTCTAAGGTATAGGTGTATAATATATTCTAAAGTTAAGTAACAAATCCTATTTGTAGTTTATTTTTTTGCATACACATGCAATGTTGTAAGTAGCTCAGACTTGATGGACAATGTAGTCTTCATCTGTACCTTATAGATTGCAAATTGGTTGTGTGAAGCCACCTCTGACACACGGGAGAAAGCCATTGGTGTAGTTACTGGTACTGGTATTAGGAGGAGGGGATAGCTTTGAAGCTGGATGAAAATGAGTATTATTACCTTCATTATATGCCATGCATGCTTAAATAATAGTGGAAGATTAGTGTTTAAATGCTAGCTCTCTAGGAAGGTAGCTTTAATTCAGGAAAATCAGAGTGGAGTTGACAATGGGGTTTTAAATAACCATACAGCTAAAGAAATGGCCACAGGAATATTGCCACAATAACCATGAGGAGGACATAAGTCCCCACAGAGTAGGAATGGTGAGTGCACCTTAACCCAATGACGCTGGGTGTACAAAACAAAAAAAAAAAAAAGCTCTACGCTCTAGCAAACAAAGGCAGCACGCCGACTTTGAGCGCGTGAGTAGGGGACATCAGCCCGAATCACTGGCGTGCCGCCGAGGCGTACAGCTGCACGCCAGCTTTCGAGCGGTTTGTTTGCACGCTGATCAGCGTCACCCAGCACCAAGGGGTTAAAACCTTTCACACGTTTATGTATTTTAGTAGAATAAGGTTTAGGGGTCTTAAAACAGGCCAAAGGGAATTCCTCATAGGAAAAATCTTTGTAATATTTCCTTGTGG